ACTTGTAACTTTCAGTGGGACTGAAGTTTAAGTATTCTTTACTTGTAACTTTCTAGTGGGCTGAAGTTTAAACTGTTCTTTACTTGAACTTTCGAGTGGGCTAAAGTTTAAATATTCTTTACTTGAACTTTCAGTGGGCTGAAGTTTAAGTATTCTTTACTTGAACTTTCAGTGGGCTGGTGCAGAGATCAAAGAGTGAAAGGTTTTGGAGAAGATCATGGTGTGAAATCTCAGCTCATTAACCTGATTCACTCAGTTAGAACAGTTATGAGGAGTGAGTAATTGTTATGTAGAACAGTTTTAATTGTTTAAAACTGTTTGACAACATCAGATAAAAATAATAAGTTATTTTTGCTGTTATAGTTGCATATCAGAAGCATTCATCATGTGTTTAATATATGTATTACTATTATATGTGTCAGAAACATTCATCCTGTGTTTAATATATGTATTACTGTTATATGTCAGAATCATTCATCCTGTGTTAATATATGTATTACTGTTATATGTCAGAAACATTCATCCTGTATTTAATATATGTATTACTGTTATATGTCAGAAACATTCATCCTGTGTTTAATATATGTATTACTGTTATATGTCAGAAACATTCATCCTGTGTTTAATATATGTATTACTGTTACATTTACTAACATTTTGATATTACAACTTCATCTTTATAAAAAATACATCAACTAACAGATGTCATCTAGAGTACTGTATTCATTTTATAGTTCATGGAAAATACAAGTGTTTTACTGATTTATAAATAAATTATTGATTCTATATACTTAGCATGCTGTAGGAAATTTCATTACCAGATGATATTCAGAATATAACCTTGAAGTGCAAGTGGTACGTGTAATAATTAGGAATTAAATATATTCTCTCTGTTAGGCCTTCAGCACAGGATATCACCCTTTAAGTAGTACAACTACAAATTAATTTAGTTAGTTTTATAATAAATAGTTTTTGTTTAGAACATTTTGTTTTTATATTCTCTCTGTTAGGCCTTCAGCACAGGATATCACCCTTTAAGTAGCACAACTACAAATTAATTTAGTTAGTTTTATAATAAATAGTTTTTGTTTAGAACAGTATTTTGTTTTTAAATTAAGCATATGCAGTTTTAATGTTTTCTTTTTTATTTCAGTACCACTTATTTTCCTAAACATTACAATAATAATTTTTAAACTCATCATGGGATAGCATCAGCAAGAAGAAAAAGAGTTGGTTTAAAGTTCAAGTTTATGAAAGAACTACAGCATGTTTCATCATCATAACTAGACAGTGAAATCTTGTTTGGTTGCTAGGTGCTAGTACCTTATGGGCAAAGTTTAAATTCTTTTGCCATGAAAGTAAAGTCTGGTGTTACATCTACATTATCAAAGTGCACTTGTAATAAGTCATTTTCTGGTGACCTTGGATATTTGCAGAATTATTTTTAATATCCAAAATTATCTTAAAGACTTTCAGTTAGTTTCTTTGAATCATTGGAAGAAAATGTTCAATAAAAACTCTTATGGGCTATTTGGCTTACATTTTATTTAATATATATTAGTTGCAACTTGTTTATATACACCATGTAGTTGCTGTTGTAAGATAATTAAAAATTAGATGATTTTAAACAGCATTTCATAAAATCCTAAACATTACACAGGCTATGATGTAAGAGTGGAGCTTTATTTTTCTTCGTTAACATTATAATTTTCTAAGGTTGTTGATAAGGGCCCAGTTTTATTTAAAACCATGGTGCAGGCAGATGTCTGGTTGTTAGAATAGCATTTTTTGTTGGGTTTGATAAAGATTAAGTGTTCTTCCAAGTTGTACATATCAGTTTATTCACACTGTGAAAGTTAGTCTTATACCATTTGGCAGCAATACATGCTTCCGAAGAGAAGTAACATCTTTCAGTTCCTAGGGTGGATAAACAAGCAGAGTAGAAATATAGTTAATTGTTTTGCCCAGCTTTTCTTAGAAGGATGTAGATTTTTTACTTCTTTCTTAATAGAAGTCATGCACAAATGCAGTGTGTGTGTGTGTGTGTGTGTGTGTGTGTGTGTGTGTGTGTGTGTGTGTGTGTGTGTGTGTGTGTGTGTGTGGAAGTCTTAATTCCATAGGTTAAAATCACTAATAAACAAGAAAGAAGGAAAAAGACCAAGGTATTCTTATCACCACTTACAATGTGAAGTAAGCAAGGTTTCCTAAATCACAAGGTTTAATAATTTAACTTACCCACAAGTTTGGAAATAAAACAACCCTAATGTTAGTTTGTTTTAAGGAATAGAACTTAGAGCAGAATGTGGTTGATGAACTGTTATTTAGTGGATTTGGTGTACAACATTGGTAAATAACAAAGTTGGCATAAGGTTCTTTCTGAAATTAGTTCTGTAAGGTATACATCCAATGTTATAGTACAGAAAGTTAACTATTTTGGTAAGTTTAAGAGTTGAAGTAATTTAAAGAAGTTTCGTGTTTTAAACATTCAAGACTTCACAACATTGACCCAAGACTCCTAAGCAGAAGTTCATTTAATATAAGATTAAAAAATGGCGTCAGTCTGTTGTAGTTCCATTATAACACTACACCCACAACTATACGTATAGAAATATAGGAAATAATTAAAACACAGAAGTGAAATAATTGTTGTATTTAAGCAATTTAATCAAAACAGGAATGCATTTTGAAAATGTTTATTAAAGAATTTAAGTAATCAAAAACATATATTAAACAGAGTATTTAAAGTTTATCAAAACTAAAACTAAGATATTAAATCATTTATACAGCCACTTAAAGTTGATCTCCTCTCAAATTAAGAAGTGGGCACAACTTCAGTCTCTTCTTCGTCTACTTCTGGAGAAGACTGAAACAGAAAATCCATAAAGTCTTAGTTACAAGTAATAACATTCAGAAACAATCATTTATGTTTGAATACATTCAACATATAACTTAGTGTAATAGACTTACCAGTTTATGTAGGAAAGTATAATCAAGCATGTTCAAGATATAGCAAGTTTTGTTTCAACTCTGTGACCATTACTGATATGTTTGAATACATTCAACTTATAACTTAGTGTAATAGACTTACCAGTTTATGTAGGAAAGTATAATCAAGCATGTTCAAGATGCAGGTTTCAAGATATAGCAAGTTTTGTTTCAACTCTGTGACCATTACTGAACTCATTTCATTCAAATCTTTTGCCTAAAAAAGAAAAAAACCACGTCATATTTTAACCACGTCACACGAGAGTCATTCAACTACAATGATCATTATTTCAAGATTAGGAATGACAGTTAAGATTTCAACAAAGGAACTTAAATGTTTACAAGTAACAGTATCTAGATTACAGTTCCATGATTAGATAAAAAAAGTCCAATTATTTACTGTAACAAATCTAATGAAATAAGACTTGCTTCAGAACCTTATCTAAAAATGTAAAGTTATTAGAGTAACATGTACATTATCATCATTCTTTACAAGTAAACGGTACTAAAGATTAAATTTATTTGAAGAAAAAAAAAAATTTTTTTTAACTCACTTCATGTAACTGATTATATACATACAAGGAATATTTCTGAGCAGAATCCAGGTTTTGTTGTAAGGTAACTGGCAATAATTGAGATATGGGAGCCAGGCTATTGTAAGAGGTCACAAGCTGTCTTGTTAGTTGTCTAGCAAGATAAAGGACTCTTTCTACTACAGTCTAACACAGAGAAGGAAGAAAAAACAATTTAATCAATCACAAACTGTATAACAAAACAGATAGAATTTAGTAATAATTATCTAATGAGAAACTTCATAGAACTGACTAATATTAATACTGTTGAGTAACATTAAACATTTTAAGTTAAACAATTAACTTAACAAAGTCCTTACAGAAGGTTTAACACTTGGATCAAGTTTGTTTAACTCTTCCCACAACCAAGAAGCATTTTTCTGAAGAGAATCCTTTGTTTGGTGAAGGATCTGATTAACACTATCCACGTTTTCTCTGGCATACTGCATCTGGTAGGATCATTAAGGTAAATTTGGTACAGAGTCACACTATATTGTAATAGTTATATACATTTCATACGTACAGTATCAGAATAACGCAAAGTTGTAATATTTCTTCCTCTTCTGTAAAGATTAATGTTCTGAAGAAAAGGATACCAAAGTTATGGTGAAGTTCAGCTTAGATACAGTTTCCCAACTTTGCATCTGAGCATTTTGAAGCTTTGCCGTGACATTTAAATAGAAGCGTTCTCTGATCTTGCTGTATAGCTGACCAATTCTTTCAATAGCAACATCGTTGTCTTTTCTCTCCACATTTTCTACAGGAGTTTTTTTATTATATATATATATTTAGAAAAAAAAATTATATACATTACCAGTTACAAGTATTTTAAGATGTTAAAAACAAGTTATTCAGTTTTAAGGAACTCCACTTAAATACTTGGGTATGAGAGACTTCAGTAAACTGGTTCAATTGCACATATCTAAACTTTAAGATTAAAGACATACAAAATTAGAAGATACAATATTTAGGACATCAGTACAGTTTCTTACCCTCATCTTCAATGGGTGGAAGGTAATAGTCTACATTTTGTTCAGCTACTTCTAAAGCTTTGTCCAACATGTTAACTACAGCATTCCCATAAAGTGTGACAAAAAGTTGTGAAGTCTTCTGGAACATACCATCTTTCATTTTTTGGATCTAAATTTAAAATCAAGAATTATTTAGTTTTAATTAAAGCTAGTTTTTATCCCTAAGTTCCCCCCTTGTAGACAAGGTTAACAATTGTTGCCTAGCTTATACTAGGACATTGCAATAACAATGTGGAACTTAAAAAAACCAGCAAGAACAAGGAGTACAAAGTTAGTTTTGTAACAGTTTAAAATTGAAAAAAAAAAGAAAAAAGTATAAATATATAAAGTTAAGATTTATATCAAAACAAAGTTAAGAAACCATTTTATAAATTGTCATCCAGAGTACACTACACAACCCCCCACCTCTGCTTAGGTTTAAGATAAATATGAACATTAAAGAAAAGTAAAAACTAACCTTATTGTTTCCATAACTTTTAATTTCATTGTACTGGTCAAAACCCCTCCGCAGAGTCGAGTTGTATAGATCCGTAGTTTCTTTTAATATCTGGAGAGATAAGTCATTATCATAATTTATAGATCTAAAGTCAGACACCATTTCAAGTAGAGGCAAATGATGCAAGTTAACAACAAGAAAAAAGTTTATCGCATACCTCTTCTGATGGTTTTGTAATAATTGGTGCCTTTTCTTCCAATATATTAAGACCTTGACAAGCTAGACTATCAAGCTTTTGAACTAAAGAAGAAAAAAAAATAAAAAAAATTAAAAAACTGCATGTTTAGTATCTTCAGTTTGAAAAACTTACAACTAGCATGATAAAACTAAACTAGAACACTGCAAGTTATAGTTTCTCACAGAAATGAAACAAATACAACAAATAGAAGTTTTAAAGATTCACAGTGTTAATTGTGTTACGTCTCCGTTTGTTAATTGATTTTCCGTAACTTCGTTCCGACGAAACTTTAACGACACAAGTTTTCTTAATAAAAACTGGTTTATTCTTTCCGAATACAACTTTACCGATACACTCAACTTCAACAATCGCGCTAAACAAACGCTATAACGACGAACGTGCTCAATAATACTTCTGACTGCAGTTCAATTACTCACTATCTTCACACACACATTACATTTCATTCCCCCGTCACGTTTTCCCCCTCTTATATATACCAGCCTACCCTATCTAGTAAATACTAGAGCATTCGCCAAAGTACACGATAGTTCTAGAAACGTTGCGTCACAGTAGTCATGTGACTCGCTGACGCAACCATTGGATACATTTTAGAAGGCAGATAAAGTAAAATCTATTAAGTATTAGAGTAATATATTTTCATTATAAGAGAAGTGTTAATGGTAAATTCTTTTTTTTTTGTTATTCTGCTGTTCTATTTGTATACATATTAGATGTATCGGAAACAGCAGCAAGCATCTGAAAAAGCAACGGATGAACAAGAGTTAAAAAGCGAATTCTTTCAAAGAATCTATATGTTGCCCTCTGTAAATGTGGTACTTGGATATGGTTTAGTTACGTATGGCCGTATTAAAGAATCTAACAGTTTGGTAGCATATACTTTGTCTGCAGCTGAGAAAACTGTTGGTGTTGCTGCAGGACAGACTCGTCCAATCTTGGTAAAATTTGCTGGGCCTAGTAAGTATTTCGCTTGTTGCTTGTTATTTCTACAAAGCAACATTAGTGTTGTTTACGATAGTAAAATTTAGATTATAAACCTTAGGCTTAAGAACAAAAACCTAATAAACTCAGAAACTGGAATACACTGCAAGTATAACATACAACTTAAAATTAAATGTTAAAAATAATACATAAATTATAAAGGTAGCATCATTGCGAGTATCAACATTCAACAACTAAAATTAACTACTGTTCGATATTAAAAACCTATTAGTATTACCAATACTAAAACCACTAAACGTTGATTTACCTGTAAATAGAAATAACTAATATTAAAAACCTATTAGTATCACCAATACTAAAACCACTAAACGTTGATTTACCTCTAAATAGAAGTAACTACCAGAAACCTTTAACAAAATATCAAGTATTCCTACACGATGACACTTAAATTCAGCCTTTTATCGGATATGACATTCTTGTATTAACCAATGACAACGCCGAAAACAGGTTTCGAGATAATTCACGCATTGCGATATTCTGCAGGTCACGTGGTTTAGTGATATTCATATTACTCATGCTCAGCTAAACGACATCTGCCGGTCAAAAACGTAAAAAAAGGAAATTCTTTTTCAATGAATCATGTTTACTGTGGTAATGCCCTCTGTTGAGATTTTAAAAAAGTACTTTCAAATATCAATATGTTTTGTATTTTAACATGTATAAGCTGAAAAAATATATTTTCGTTTATTTCTTTAAATGATTTTAATTTAATATATTCAATATAAATAAATCACGCACGTATATACATATATGTATATGTATTAAGATTTACTGTGAAATAGTTCAGGCATTCAGTACGTTAAGAATCCATAACTTGCTTAGATGGCGTTTAGTAAGCTATAGCAAATACGAATATCACACAAAATGGATTAAATGTAAGTACATTTATCATAAACGTTGATTTATTTTAGGCAGATGTAGCATTCATCCATCAAATATATTTTCCTAAATATAGATAATGTTTTATAAATTTAGGATTAATTTATTTTTAAGTTAATGCTAGATAAGCCTAAAGTATATTTGCACTCGCGTGATTCTTTAAAATTTTAGAGAATTTTATTATTGTTAATAGGAACAACTGAATACTTTTTTATTATTATTTGTCTTTAGTGCTAAGAAACTAAACGTTTAAAATGGTAACACGTGATTAACATTATTATAAGTTGTAAGGATAACGAGATGAACTTGTAAGTTGCATGCAGTTTCTAGGCGATTAATCTAGGTATAGTATAAGTGATACTTAATACTAATAGCTGAAGATTTCTTACGCTATTAACTGATGTTGAGATAGTTTTTAAGGTTCTGATTCTGAGAGAGAGAGAGAGACTTAAAATTTGGGGTTTGTGTAGTGACTGATCAGCATTTAATTGATCAAATTTTATGTAATTCTTTTTTTTTACAAAAACAACAAAAATTCTTGTTGTTGCAAATTTTAATCAAAAAATACAGCAGTTTAAAGAAATGTAAGAAAAAATAATTGTGACCAGCTTTTGTAAGTATCACCTTTGCAAAATGGGAAAATGTATTCAGTGTTTCATCAAAAAATTAATCCATTTAAGATAATAAAAATTATCAAGATGACGAGGCCTTTTAGCCTGTTGAGTTTCTCTTGCCACTAGTTAAAAAAAAAGAAGAAAAAACTAATGCAAGAAACCTGAACTAAATTTAGTGCTGTTGGTCCATACATCTGCTCACTGACATTTTAAAATATTAAATACACAGCACAATCCTCAAATTTAACAAAATATTTTGGCAAAACAATTCTTGATATATAGGCTTTCTAAGCTTAAACTTACTAGCCATAAAGTTTACAGTTTGTCAAAACAATTCTAGATATATAGGCTTTCTAAGCTTAAACTTACTAGCCATAAAGTTTACAGTTTGTCAAAACAATTCTAGATATATAGGCTTTCTAAGCTTAAACTTACTAGCCATAAAGTTTACAGTTTGTCAAAACAATTCTAGATATATAGGCTTTCTAAGCTTAAACTTACTAGCCATAAAGTTTACAGTTTGTCAAAACAATTCTAGATATATAGGCTTTCTAAGCTTAAACTTACTAGCCGTAAAGTTTACAGTCTCTACTTCACACAAATCATCCATTAACAGATTATTCAGACATCTGGGTGAAGATATGAGACTATTTAAATAAACATACTTTGGTTATTCTGTTTTTCAAAAATATAAATTTTCTTCTGACATTAAAAATAAGTTAACTTCAGAGTTTGAAACCATACCCCAAGTTTTATCAATTTACACTTCTTAACATTAAAACTCATTTTATCACTATAGCCCAGTTATTGAGACTTCTAGGTTTCTGTATAAAAGAATTAAGAACACTTAAGAGTATCATCATACACTATAACTCTAGTATTATCACCCAGTTTAAAAAACTACATTCCAACAGAGAAAATGATGTATATGTTATTGAATAAAGGACAACATGGACCTCTAAATAGACCCCAGATTGTCCTTTTGGCTTTCTACCACCAAAAGATTTTTTTTAAACCTTTTCTGTTAGTTGCATAAGAACTATTTCCTCCTGTAAGGCACCTAATCAAGGTCTGGATGGTTTTATATAAACAAATATACATAGATAACATATCAAATACTCCAGTAAGTTGATAAGACAAGAACACATCTTTTCTAAACCAAACCTTGAGAGTATTCTTTACTAAATGCCAATTTTTCAACTGCTTTTGTTAAATAATACCAGACTCAAACAAAAGTTAAACTTACCTGTATATAAGTTTCAGTCTATATTTTACAAAAATATGAATTATATTGTGAATGTTATAATCATCAGGAAATTCTAATGTGTCAAGAAACTTTTGAAAGACAATTGTCAAATTCCGTACTCTCTCCTTGCTATAGTTGACTCAGTTTACATGATTATAAAAACCATATGTGCCATTTTTTTGCTTTGATCCGAGAGACTTTCATATTCCTTCTTATTCATAACAATAACTTGACTTTTATATATTTATTCTGATAAGCTAGTAAATTTGCAATCTTATTAGCTCAACTTTTTTATTTATTAACAAGTTCCTCATTCCTCCAGTTAAGTATGTTCTTCAGAGTAGAACACAAAATTCTGAATAGAAAACATTCATTTTCAGCTGCCTTCAGTGTAAATTTTAACTTTTCTAAAGATTGGATGCACAAGGTTACAGCCTTAAGGACCAAATGGTTCCTTGTGGTCCACATGCTACATAACGTTGGTTGAATTAAAAAAAAGTCTAGGATTCATTAACATCGTTAAAAGCTAAATAAAACACTACTTATTACTCCAGAAAACATAATTACTTTAAGCTGATGTTATGGCTTCTTCAGAGCAAACAAGACACTCGCTAAATGATTTAGGTTTTTTAGACAAAAGATTCCAAAATTTCTAGAGTAATAGGCAGTGTTTATTTATCTTCGAGTAATGAATACAACTCTCCAGTGTGCACTACAAACTTTAAACTCTCCTAATGAATTCATTAACATTCTTCGTATTGAGATTAGATCCTCCTCCCAATCTTCGAATGAATACAACTCTCCAGTGTGCACTACAAACTTTAAACTCTCCTAATGAATTCATTAACATTCTTCGAATTGAGATTAGACCCTCCTCCCAATCTTCCAATGAATACAATTCTCCAGTGTGCACTACAAACTTTAAACTCTCCTAATGAATTCATTAACATTCTTCGAATTGAGATTAGACCCTCCTCCCAATCTTCCTCGTAATTTTCAGTTTGTAAAATAGACAAACAAAATTTCCTTTAGTTCATGACACTTAGCATAATTTCCATGGTTATCTTTTATCTATTTAATATCAAGTACAAATCTAGCTCTGAAAAATAACTATACAATCCAAAGGTTAGGATTTGTTAAACATAATTGTTATAAACTTGTGGAATGGTTTACTTGTTAATATGGTGTGTGAATTATTATAAACTGTTGTTAGAAGAACGTGAACTCATTTATTGTTTTATTTGATTGTTTACATAGATAAAGGAAGAGCTCAGTGGGTCAGATAGCCTTTTTTTGACTACATGTAACAGTTTCTGTATGTTCTTATAAATAATTCCATATTTAATTGAAAGCTATTGTAATTTTTTCATGTAAAATGTTAATGTAACCTAACAGGTCAGATTTTAATCTAATAGTAGAATGTGTCATCAGAATTTTTGAGTGTAAAATTATGAGCTAGATCAAGACACATGATAGTGTGTTGTGTGTCCAAAAAAACAACCTGCAGTAGTGTGTCATGTGGCCAAAAATACAACCTGTAGTAGTGTGTTGCGTGGCCAAAAAAGCAACTTGCATGTGTGTGTCGTGTGGTAAAAAAAACAACCTGCAGTAGTGTGTCATGTGGCCAAAAATACAACCTGCAGTAGTGTGTCTTGTGGCCAATAAAACAACTTGCATGTGTGTGTCGTGTGGTAAAAAAAACAACCTGCAGTAGTGTGTCGTGTGGCCAAAAATACAACCTGTAGTAGTGTGTTGCGTGGCCAAAAAACAACCTGCAGGACACACTGTTTGTTATTAACAGGAGTGATAGTTTAGCAATTTTCCACCTTCTGTAGCTCGGGAGGCATAACATCACCGATTTTGATTGAGTTTCTTCCTTTTTTTTTCTTCGCACCTAAAGTATGGAAACTTTATTTGATAGAAAAACATACTTAATATTTATGGATTTTTTTCAAATTTGGTACACTGATAGATCTTTACAACCTACAATTAAGAGTCTCATTTGGTGTAAATATAAGTCACATGTGCAAAGTTATTCAACAAAAACTGCTCAAATTTAATGAAAATTTTTGCACTCACTTACTCAAAAAGTCATGTGAGCTATTGGTCTGAAATTTTTACTACCGCTTCATCTAAGAGTAAAAGTGAGTGACTTAGAGCAGTAAAACTATAAAGATGAAAGGACAAACAAACTAGATTAGCAGTTTGTAGCTCAAGTTTTCAAAAGAATCAGATGGATGGACGGTTATTATTGATTATTCATTGCCAACTTTACAGCATAAATTTACTAAGTTTTATGAAGTTATCCTAATTAAAGAGCATTCAGTGTCATGTGATATTAGCTTAAGAAATTAGTTTAAATAATTATGCTTGATATGGCTGTACCGATTGCATGGGGTGATGACAAGAAACTGTTAATCTAAATTCCATGGTGTTACTATAAAGGAAGCTATTAACACTGTTTTAGAGAGGAAAAACTACCAGCATATATTTTAAAGAATCTGGTTGGTTCTGTAAAGTATAGGTCTGTTCCAAATAATAGGGTTGCGATCCTAAAGTTAATGTTGGTTACTGTCAAGTGTCACTTTCTTACTTGCTGTGGTTTGTTGGTGTGTATTGACAAATACCTAAGGTGTATTTGATTAGATTACTGTATGTAGAAGAATTTAATCATTACTGAAATTTTTGTGACAGTTTTATGCAATCTAATATATAAATATACAGTTTTTATTTACTCAATGTGTAATTGTTTTTCTTTTTTTATGAAGGGGGAAGTGTGGTGAACAAAGATTGCTGAAGGAAGGGGGGGACTTCCAGAGGCCCCCTGGGAGTTTTTTACAAAATTCCAACCCATCATTTTTTGATGAGTTGTGCAAAGCTAGTTTATATATTAAAAAAAGGCATAATACATTTGAGTAGATCAACTTGTAAGTGTTGCATGTTATACAAACAGTGATGTTAGGCTATTGTGGCCTATGGAAGCCCCTACATCTGTATTTACATGTTATACAAACAGTAATGTTAGGCTATTGTGGCCTATGGAAGCCCCTACATGTGTATTTACATGTTATACAAACAGTAATGTTAGGTTATTGTGGGCTATGGAAGCCCTACATGTGTACATTACTGTTACACAAACAGTAATGTTAGGCTATTGTGGCCTAGGGAAGCCCCTACAAGTGTACTTACATGTTATACAAACAGTAATGTTAGGCTATTGTGGCCTAGGGAAGCCCTCTCCCTTACGTTTTTGGACCCAGTTCAAGTTCGAGTGTCACTTTCAAAGCATGAGGAATGAGGGAATATTTGATCAGTATTTTGAAAGAACAGCAGACAGTAATGATGTTCTTTGCTCATAACCTCACACTAAAAAGGTTTCTGTACATTGAATCCACATTTCAAAACTTGTTATATTTTAACTGATTGGTAAACATTACTAGTGTGTCACATTTGTTTATAGATTTGATGCTGAGTGTGACTGTTGTTCACTGATTATTTGGTGTCAAAATGTTGAGAAAATCCCTTTGGTGCAAGCCTTGGTCACTTTCTGTTTAGTGATATCAACTTTGAAACTCTGGTTTCTGTCTGTTAGGTCAGTTGTAGAAGTCACCCAGGCTTTGAAACTAAAAGGAATTCCTAGTATTTACTTGCATGTAGTGAAGGACGAGTTCACGGAGACGTATCCAAACTTGGGTTCTCTTTATTGCTTGATTATAACTCTGCCAGTCATATCTTGTAATTGAGAGAGCCACTTCTCTGAGATGTAGCTTAACAAGAACAAGCTCCGTAACACCATGATAGAATAGTGTCTCGATACTGTCGGTTACATCAGAACTAGTAAAGTAGTTTACATTAGATTATTACTTCTGGAATCACCTGGCCGTCAATTGTCTATGAAGATGGTTCTTAACCTCCCGTATATAATGTTTTCACTGCTATTGCTACAGATACTAATATGTATGTTATACATAAGCACATGTATGAAAGATATTATAAAGTAAACTCTGACACCTGCTCTTTTTCTACAATCTGTCAACACAAGGAAATACGTAGTGTATGAATATCAACAATAAATATTAATGGGTAGTTGGTCCCCTCAACTTTTTTTGGGTGCCTGGTGCATGTATAAAAATTTGTAACCTATTTAGGGTGATATATGGGCTGTTTATATTTTTAGAAAGTAATTATAAAAAGCCATGAAACTAAATATTTGTTTGCTTGTCTGTTTCAGGTTCCTTGTTGTTCTAACAGAAATAAATGCTAACATGGACATATGATATGATAACATGAAATCTGTTTGACAAAGGTTGAATCATGGTTTGGTGTTCATAACAACCAGACATGATATTCTGATGAAACTCGTATATTTCTATTCCCCAGGTGGGATTAAGTGATACAATCCCCCCCAAAAAATATTTCTTAACATTTACAGCCACAAAAGTCATGTTGTGATCCATCTGTTTCCAAAGCAATGGAGGACAAACGAGTGGCTGATTATTTTGTGGTGGCAGGCTTGCCGGACAATCCTCAACCTCTGGAAGAATTCACCCACGATGGAATTACTCCTCAAACTTCTCATAATCTGGCTCCTATTACAGATTTGACAGTTATTATCCATAGTCAAGGAGAAACAGTGCCTCAAGGCTATACTTGCATTGAGAAAACTCCTTCAGGTTTTCCTGCAGATCTTAACCATGGTAGCTTACGAAGCCCCAGCATTTACTTGTGTTATTGCAGAGGGAGAGACAAACCTCCTTTGGTGGATATTGGGTGAGTACGACATTTTGTGACAAATCCTGAAATTACCATATTCAGTTATTAAATACAGTACAACCCCACCCACCCACCCCATGCCAGTGCATACTTAGTTATACCTGTAGGTAATCAATAGAAAACTGTAGATTAGTAGGATTTCAAACAGACTATTACAAGATTAAATTATTTAAATATTTCAAAAGTATGAAACTTATAAAGAAGCTTAACTCATTTAACTGATTTTTCTCCAAGTAGTTTTCATACAACACTGTATGTTATTTAAGTAATGCTGCTATGATTCAGTATACTCCGACATATACGTCTCAACTGAGAAGACCTTAATTACTAACTTCAACATTTGATAAGTGTATCATATATATATCATGTATTAGAGCTGGGCAATCAGTTGAATTTACTAATCAATTAACCATCAGACTTATTAATCAGTTTCATTCAACTAATCAGTTACTCTTACGTCAGACTTAACTTCCCATTTTCTGCTTATTTTGTCGTTTTTTTTAAAATATTTTTAATGTTTAATATAATAAACATCTTCAAGTACAACAATTAAGCTAAATTGTAAATCCTAAACTGTTGTACATGAAAATGTATTATATAGCAATGTGGTACGAAACCTATAACAAGCTTAAAATACAGTTAATATCCAAGTTTTATAATACATTAAAATCAAAATAATGTAAAAAAAAAATCTTTAATTATAGACATTTTTTGAATTTTTTTTCTAATTCCAACAATAAATTGAAAATCCTAAAAAAAAGTGATAAACACTTTTATAAATATAAAAAAACATTATAAGCTTTTAAGCGAGATGGCGATTATATAAACGGATGTTTATATTGAATACATGAAGGTAATTAATATGGTTACATTTTACAATACACTCAGAAAGAAACTGTAGAAACACACGAGTATGCTGAGAAATTCATTTAAAAACTGACTGTACATGAAGACAACCACTGTTTTTCATTGCTAGAGCTAGTCCTAACTAAACAGGAGTTATGATCATATAAATAGGTTTTAACAACTTAAATGTTTCATGCTGTTACTATTATCAGTTTATATCTAGAACATTTTGATAAACAGTTAATAAGTAAGTTATTAGCAATTAACTTTTTTTTTCTGTTATAGAAGCAGTTTTACTTTAAGTAACACTAGCCACATTTATAGTACAGTGTGTAATAAGTATTTAATCAATGAATAAAAACCTTATAACCTAAGTGTTTCGAAAGGTGGACCTTTCTCCTTCAGGGGCAAACTGTTTGCCTTTGCAGAAGAAAGGTCCACCTTTCAAAAGCACTCGAGTTATAGGATTTTTAATCATTTCTGTGAAGACTTCTTGAACCTACATGTTTTTCTAACATCATGAAAGTATTTAAGCAATATATTAAGTTAAAGCTACAGTATTATTTAGTCTGGAAAACGTAAATGTGAGTAACATGCACCAATGTGGCTAGTTATCAGCTAATATTTTGATTATTTGGATAGTTGGAATTATCGAAAATAATAATAATCTAATTTTAATTAGTTTTTACTTAATAGACATTAATTAATTTAATCATAATTTTAATTAACTGATTATTTTATGTGACACTATGCAATGTAATCAATGCCTGTAGATAATAGTTTTAATTGCCAACCTCTGCTGTTGGTATGTGTGCCTGATATTCTTTGGCCTTGTTTTCATTAATTTTCTTCCAATTCTGTTAATCAATGCCTGTAGATAATAGTTTTAATTGCCAACCTCTGCTGTTGGTATGTGTGCCTGATATTCTTTGGCCTTGTTTTCATTAATTTTCTTCCAATTCTGTGGGAAATATTGGAATTTACCCAAACCATGTAAATATTAGTCTCATGATGGTAAGTTGATAGATATGTGAGCCTCTTTGTTTGATTTGGTAGATCAGTAGACAGTAGGCAGGTTCCAGGGAACTGAAGAGTCTTTGTTTGTTTTGGTAGATCAATAGACAGTAGGCAGGTTCCAGGGAATTGAAGAAAGAGTCTTTGTTTGTTTTGGTAGATCAATAGACAGTAGGCAGGTTCCAGGGAACTGAAGAATCTTTGTTTGTTTTGGTAGATCAATAGACAGTAGGCAGGTTCCAGGGAACTGAAGAGTCTTTGTTTGTTTTGGTAGATCAATAGACAGTAGGCAGGTTCCAGGGAACTGAAGAATCTTTGTTGTTTTGGTAGATCAATTGACAGTAGGCAGGTTCCAGGGAACTGAAGAATCTTTGTTTGTTTTGGTAGATCAATAGACAGTAGGCAGGTTCCAGGGAACTGAAGTCTTTGTTTGTTTTGGTAGATCAATAGACAGTAGGCAGGTTCCAGGAAGAATGTTAATGCTGTTTTTAAATGGGATAGATAAGAGCTTAGTCTTACTTCTATAGTGGAAAAAAAATTATAAGAGAGAATTTGATTGGTGAAATATAATATAGTAAGTGAAAGCTAACATGGATATACCAATGGGAAGTCTTTGTTAATTGAATAATGGAAAGGATGTAGACTTTATGGACTTAGATTTTTAAAATGCTTTTGGTATGGTGCCACTAAATATTAGCTAAGGATACCACATCAGTAGGGGTTGAGGAAAGATTAGAGGTTATGAAAATGCAATGCACAAACTGTACGATGGACAAAATTATTTAATTCTTCACATGAACATCATCGTACATTCTCACTTTTCTGAGTCAGACTGATGTCATCAATTCACAGACATGTATTGAGTACAAACACATTTGTGTACAATAGGCTTGTACGTTTTATTAAAATCTTCCTGTATTTTGTGTTTATACATGTAGTTAATCGGAATTATAATCAACATTCTTTTTTCATTACAAGATTGGTCAATTGGACCGACCCTGTGCATGTTCGGTTAATGGAGCCAGACTGTCCAGTTAAAACTGGATCTTGTTACTGGTAAAATGCCTCAGTAGTCGGTGCTTGAGCCTTCGCTTATTTACATTAATGATAATGATAAGAGCATAATTATTAAATTAGTAAAAGTTTGCTGATGACGTTAAAATTGAGTATTTATAGTTGTGATGAGGGTGTTGAAATTGTGACATTCAGTTACAGTGATATCTAGCAAAAAAGCCAAAATTTCCACAAGAAAAAGCAAAAAGTGAGGTGACAGTAAGACAGAATGCAGCCAGAAGGCCGCTGGTAGCATCAGTAAACAAACTCTGTTGTACCTCCAGCGAGGCAGCTGACTTCCACATGATGTTCCATTGCCTGTTGGTGCAACTGCTGTGATTGTCAACAAGTGCTAACTGCAATGCCATTATTAATATATTCTATAATAGTTACGGAAGGGTTAAATTAATGACTATTTCATTTATTATTAATATATTCTATAATAGTTACGAAGGGTTAAATTAATGACTATTTCATTTATTATTAATATATTCTGTAATAGTTACTGAAGGGTTAAATTAATGACTATTTCATTTATTATTAATATATTCTGTAATAGTTACGGAAGGGTTAAATTAATGACTATTTCAGAATATATTAATAATAAATGTAATAGTTACTGAAGGGTTAAATTAATGACTATTTCATTTATTATTAATATATTCTATAATAGTTACTGAAGGGTTAAATTAATGACTATTTCATTTATTATTAATATATTCTATAATAGTTACTGAAGGGTTAAATTAATGACTATTTCATTTATTATTAATATATTCTGTAATAGTTACGAAGGGTTAAATTAATGACTATTTCATTTATTATTAATATATTCTGTAATAGTTACGGAAGGGTTAAATTAATGACTATTTCATTTATTATTAACATTTGGCAAATGATTTTTAATAATAGTTAGTGGAAGCTAATGTATTTGAGTTATCATAATTTAGATGACATGTTTGATACAGATGGGAACCCACTCAGTAGCATGGCTGAAGAAAAGGATGTATTGTAGATAAGTCGGACCATGAAGCAGGATTCTATTGTTACTAGTAAAGCTAAAATGATTTTAGGTGTATTTATAAACATATTGATTACAAGTCAAAAGAGGAAATTATCCTACAAACCACTAGTTAGGACTCGCGTGTAATACTGTGTACAGTTTTGGTCTTCTTATCTAAGAAAGGATGGGTTATTTTACAGGGAAGATTTAAGATCTATTAACTTATAAGAAGTGATCGTATTAAAGTTTATCAGATTTTCCATGGGATCAATATTGTTAGTTTTGTTTTGTGCAGTATTTTTAAGATAATAGAATGGGAGGACAAACTTACTGTTTTCGAAAGACGGACTAGACTACAGTTAATATAAGTTTTATTTTTCTAACAGGAATTTAAGATGGTCAACGTTTCTTTGAAAAATAAAGGTTGTTTTAAATGTTTACTTTTCTTAAAGGAAAGTGTGCAAGGAAAGCCCTGAAGAGCCAAATGATCCATTGTTGTCTTTATGTCATATTTGGTCCAAATGTTAGTTGTTGTATAGAAGTGTAGTTTAAGAGTATAAGTTAACAAAACATAAACATGACACACGGTCTGACGAAGGTTGATGCTCCAGGAACATTTGTATTAAAACAAGTCAAATGGTACTCACTTGTAAGAGAGGTAACAAAGTGCCACATTACATTCTGTACTAGCAAGGTTTTATTTTATATTGTCACTTTAATCTGAAAAAAAGGATATTTTTTGTATTATAATTTTGTTTATATTCCACCAGAGTACTCTATGAAACCAAAGAACGAGTGATGGCAGACAGTCAAGTAGTCCACACAACTCCATACGGTCGACCGGCTAATGTAAACAATAGTGGTTCCCGAACTTTTCTTACATATAGACGAGCATCTCCTACTGCTCCCTGTAACCAGCTGGTTGTGACAGATATCTGTATTATACTGTCCAATAAGGTAGTTCAGCTTTGGATTCTAAGCATGCTTCTTTTAAGTTTATCTTTGTTTTTATTTTGATGAGTGACAAAAGAATGTGTAGTGATCAAAGTTATAATAACATATTATTTGTCTTACCTGAAAATAACTAATGATTACTTCTCTTGTGACAAGAAGTTGATCAATTTAGATGAGATGGTTTAATTTTGTTTATGGGTATAAAGTTATAAATGGAGAGATATATTTAATTATTTTAACCTTCATCAGTATGTACAAAACATGAAAAAGAATTAGATGAATATGTATTATTTTGATTTTTACACAAGTTGTTGAAATGATGATTTGAAATATGTTTCAGGGAGAAACACCCCCTCATGCTTTCTGTGTAATCAACAAAACTTTGAACAAAGGAATGGTGAGAAGCTCTTAATTTTTTTATACTAGTACTGTATAGATATGTTTATTGAACTTAATGGTTATGTAGAGAAAAGTTAGAGGACTTGAATACGTTGCTGCAGTACTTCTGACGTTATTTATTATATATATAAAGAAATCATCCTAAATCCTAGTTATTTGTGTGAAAATCTTGTGAGTTGTGTCACTTCATAGTCCCTAGGTAATGCAGTATCGTGTAGTATGTTCATCTTTAAAATGCCTGGTTGCTGCAGAACTTCTGAGGTTATTTATTGGTTTATTATATAAAGAAATCATCCTAACTCCTAGTTATTTGTGTGAAAATCTTGTGAGTTGTGTCACTTCATAGTCCCTAGGTATCGTGTAGTATGTTCATCTTTAAAATGCCTTATATACCGTGTAGGCCTGGTTGGTAAGGCCCTCAACTTGTGCTCTGTGGGTCATGGATTCAAATGCTGTCACTGAACATGCCCACACTTTTAATCATCAGGGCATTATATTATGACAGTCGGTCACACTTTTTGTTGATAAAGAGTCACCCGAGGGTTGGTGGTGTTGACTAGCTACCTTCCCTCTGGTCTATCATTTCTAACTAAGAATGGCTTTGTGCAAAATTCAACAAACAAAACAATACATATAATTAGAAAAAATCCATATATTTTTTTATGTTAATCTTCTATCATGATTGTTTTTTAAGCACATAAAAAGGGATTTGAATTGTAAGAAGCTTTTACAAAGGAAATATAAGAATAATAATAGGCATAGTGAAATAACGAAAAATGTGGTAAGAAATAAAAAATAAAGTGTAAAACAAAATTCTGTTTTATTGTTAACAAACACAGAACTATTTTGAATGCATTGCATTTTGACATCAGACTAATATCACAGGAAGTATATTAAGGTTTAATATTGTTAATATCACAGGAAGTATATTAAGGTTTAATATCACAGGAAGTATATTAAGGTTTAACATCACAGGAAGTATATTAAGGTTTAATATCACAGGAAGTATATTAAGGTTTAACATCACAGGAAGTATATTAAGGTTTAACATCACAGGAAGTATATTAAGGTTTAACATCACAGGAAGTATATTAAGGTTTAACATCACAGGAAGTATATTAAGGTACATGTACATAATTTGTGATCAAACATCTGAAGATGTATTTACAGGCACATGACTAGGGTTTGTGGTAATTTCTATAGAATAGTGTGTATAATTATAACCTAGTACTTTTCACAAATTTTTGTTCTGAAATAATCTCAATCTAATGTACATAACAAAGACATAATTTCCAAAAATTGCAAGTAAATAAAGTCTCCAAGTGGGTCAGCTGTATACTTATAGGCATACACTGCTAAAATACAGGTTTTGGTTCTTTGTGGAGGACAGGTCACAAATAGCCTATTGTTCAGCTTTGCATTAAAACAAACAATCAAGCTAGTAAATAAATAGCTAAAAAAAAATCAGTAAGTTAACAACATTATAATAAATTTACATTGAGCTCTGTTTAAAATGATGTTTTGAAGTATAGCAGGGGATTTAGGCTTAGGGCTAAAATCTCAAAAAATAATGACCGAGAATTAGTTGGTTTGAAAACAGCAGGCCAGTGTTTCTTATATTCTTATTTGTTTTTCTCTTTGTTTGGTGTTATTTTATTTTTACATGTTTTATAAATCAACATAAAAAAAAACACTTAGGTACCCTAGTTATCTAAGATAATAAAGTTGGCCACGTACCTTTCCTATGATAATATTCAAATAGATTTGGTGCAAAGCTAAAATTATCTCTCATGTTGAGCGTGCTGATGTTTGTGATCTGCTTAGTTTTCAAATAGATTTGGTGCAAAGCTAAAATTATCTCTCATGTTGAGCGTGCTGATGTTCGTGATCTGCTTGTAGAAACTTTGATGATAAAATGTTTTGTGTGTACTTTCATCACGGTGATTAATTATTGGTTTCTAAAGGTTGGATCTGATGTCTACATCTGTTATAAGAAGTCAATGAACAGACCAGATCTTTTCTGTTTTAAACCAGGTAGGAGAAATAACTTTTGTTTTTAGTTTACCTACATTTTTTGCTGTATGTGTGGCAAAGCTCAGTGGTAAGTATACATATAACAATTAAAGCTGTAGGACATTAATTCAAAGTAGATATAATATGGTGTTACAGCTATCATAACAAGTGTAAAATGTATGTGATGTAAATCAAATCCATTAACGTATGAAGTTCGGTGCACAACAAAGAGCTATTACCTTGTTCGCACTGCGATGTAAATAACTATGCATACTTGAAGCCTTAAATAAACCTTCACTCTGACATGTTTCGATGTATATTGTGATAGGAGATTTGAATTAAAACAAACAATCAAGCTAGTAAATAAATAGCTAAAACAAATCGGTAAGTAAACAACATTATAATACATTTACATTGAGATTAATTTAAAATGATGTTTTGAAGTATAGCAGGGGATTTAGGCTTAGGGCTAAAATCTCAAATAATAATGACTTGAAGCCTTAAATAGAGCTTTCACTCTTACATGTTTCGATGTATATTGTGATCGCCTATTATTTAATCATCATTAGCTTATACACCTCCACCAATAGGAAGATGACACATCCTCCATGAGCATATATATTTAAAGAAAGGCTCACTCTTACCTTGGCTTCAGATGTTTTATTTTTTATTATAGGAATTACTGGAATTTTTTCATTCATTATTTTTATCTCCCGTTACCATTTGTAGCGTAGTCTTTCTTATCTTGAAAAATCGTGTTTTTTGTGATCTTCCAAAAATGTTGTAATATTGCTACAATACTTGTTCACACTTACATGTCAGAAACATCAGTAAAAAATGAAGCTTGTTCCCTTATCTTTATACTTACTATGTATTAAAAATATGTTGTTTTTTGTAAAGTTTGTTAATGAGTCTGTGGTATAAAACACTGTTTTCCATCTTATGGTGTAATGCTTTTCACTTTCTGTCGTAGCCATTTTGGGCCGGTATCCTTTAGATAATTATGAAAATTTCCATTTGCCTGTCTCGGTGCCATTATTTTGCCTTCCCATGGGAGCAACTATAGAATGTTGGCCTAAGGTTGCCCAACGGCCACATCCCGTGTTTTCTACATTTGTTCTTACATCTGATACTGCAGAAAAGGTTTTTATCACTTTTGTGAATTGTGTTATCATAATTTACATAAATTTGTAGTAGTTTAAAGTTGTATTGTAAACTTCCATTTGTTTATTTGTATAATAATCATCAGTCATTTGTAATGGAATAAGTAAAGTTGTATAGTCAACATGAGTATCTAAAAGTAAAGATTTTAAACATAAACTTACAAAAATGAATAAATTCAACAGCTTTTTGTAGGATACCAGAAATTGTCCCTATATTGTATTTTAATTTATTTATTTCATTTTCAAATAGATACTGATAATGAAGTTTAATCCTTTATCATCACCACCCTTATATTTACACATGTTAGACATCATCTCCACCCGTATATATATATATATATATATATGTATATAAACAAATGTTAGACATCATCTCCCCCCGTATATATATATATATATATATATATGTATATAAACAAATGTTAGACATCATCTCCCCCCATATATATACACTTGCATACACATCATCTATACCTGTTTTTTTACACATACTACACATAATCTCCACCCGTATATATACACTTGCATACACATCATCTATACCTGTTTTTTTAGACATACTACACATAATCTCCACCCGTATATATACACTTGCATACACATCATCTATACCTGTTTTTTTACACATACTACA